ATGTTTTCTTCTCAGGTCCTCAGCTCCAGGAGATGGTCACATTTCTGTTTTTTTTCTGGAACAAAGTGCTTCAAGACACGTTTTATTGGGGGCAATGTTTGTTTAGTAGAAGGGAGCTACAGACTGGAGTAAGGTTCATGCTAACACATAAATTTGAGATACTGGTCTAGACATGAGAGCATACCTGTCACCAGGGGTTTTATGTTTTGGCTTAGTTCTATCTTCAGAAAATGAAGAGTTCTGAAGTAAGGCATATTTCATAGAACTGAGAATGTGAAATGAATAGCAAAATCTAGAATGTAAAATAAATAGCAAAATGAAGTTTTGCTGTATATTTATTGTCAGAATGAGGTTTTAGACACAGTCCCTTTGTCTGCTGTACAATTTCTGCCAGCTAAGGATGGGATAAGAGCTGATAAATTTTTCACAGCATTTCATTAGTTGAAGAAATCAATAATTTCTCATTTCTCCTTAAATGGGCATCCACCATCAAGAATGGAAGATCTGTGCAAAACAAGACTTGTCCCTTGTGCTAAATGCTCAACTTTATAGCTATACAAATAGGTTACACCTGAGTCAGTAGCATGGTAGTAGCTTTTTCTTACTCTCTGATTCCTGTGACTGTCATAAAATGAAGAAAACCATTAGCAGCTGCACAGCTCTGTGCAGCAGTTCAGCTGTGTGTGGAGCAGGACTGAGTATGCTGAATTAGTTCACAGAGAGCTGATAACAAATGAGGGAAGGGAGACTGCCTCCCAGTTGAATAGTTTATTGCCGTGGCCTGTGTTTTTAATCTCAAGAATAGGAGATTGCTGGTTTTAGTTACACTTTCAGTAGATGAATTACACACTGGTGGCAGCTCTTATTTGACATGTAATAATCGATACTTCTCTGCTTACCCACAAATGAGCAGCAGAGAGCTACCTAATGGTCCAGAGAAGGAAAAAAGTCTGTCATCTTAAACAAATCTTATATGCATTCAATGAAGCCTTTGCTGTATAACATTTTAATGTATTCTTGTTTTTCTGATGACTTTGTGGATGCAAATTGCTTGTAGACCTTTTAGCCCAAACATGAGGGTCTGCAGCTTTTACAGCTCCATGAGCCTGGGTGAAATCTCAGCCTCTGGGGCAAGCAGGACCAATTTCAGGAGAGCCCCATGGCACTGCCCCTGTCCTAGGGACATCAGAGCATAGCGTCAGATGTGGCCTTCCTGGGGAGGAGCACACCGATAAGCCACCATGAGTGCGAAACCCACCACAGTTTCATCAGCTTGTGCCTTATCTTTGACTGGGTCATTACAAGTATCTCTCATTGTGGCCATGCCTGTGTGCTTGCCTACACATGGCAGATTAATGTCTTTGTAAATGCACTTTTCACTGACTGTTGAATGCTTAGGTCCCTCCCAAGGCTCTCGCAAGCAGTATTGAATTCTTGGAAACTCATCGTCTTGACCTTTTTCTTTTGGAATATTTATTAGTGTGCAATAGCTACAGACTTACTCAAAGTGTTAGGAGTAGCAGCAAAAGTTGATAACTATGACTAGTGTGCAGTCTTACTGGTTTTAAAGCACCAGAATAACTAGCTGTCTTCATCCTTGTTTGACTGCAATTATACTCAGATATAAACATCACTTAATGAACCTTGCAGCAAGTAGGGGCTGAACCACTGTTATGTAGGGCAGTTCCATATCTATGTGGCAATGTTCTTCCTGTGTTAGCATAATTAAATCTAAATATTGGCTACAGAGGGAGTTTGTTTTATTGCACCTCTCAGCTGAATGTGTGTCAGGGAATATGAGTGAGTGGAAAATGTTTGGAAGTAGGCAGCGTGCTGTGGTGTATTGCGTTTCACTGACATGAGAGGAATGTGGCAGGGAGGTCTACAGTTGCCTGCTGTAGGCACTAGCACTCAGGCTGAAAAGCAGCTTGGGATGTGCCTTTTGCTTCATTAAGCAAAAGGCCTTATGCCTGTGGCATGAAGTGCTATAAAGCACAGTGTGGAACTATTATAGTGTATATTGTTAGACAGGATTGCCAATCTCAAACATGTGAAATTATAAATCAGATATTTTACAGCATAAAATCTGTCTAGAAATTAGGGATATGTGGCTTTTTAAATTCTTCTTTCCTTTTTATTTTGTACAATTCATTTATTTTTAAGTGAAAGCTGAGATCTTCACTGACAGTTGAGATCCTCACCTGGCTTCAGGGCTTCAAGAACACCAGATCTCAAAAAAAACTTGCAAAAAAGGTCATAAAAGTTCTTAGCAGTGAGTCAGACATCTGTAGAAGCTGTGTGACTGTAGAAGCTTTGTCACTGTAAATAGGATCTAAAAACCAGGGATGCAAAATGCAGGGTAAGCTCCTGGCACTGGCAGTTTAGTTGAGGTTTGCTTACCTTTAACAAATGTCACTAGCTGTGCTCGCTCACATAATTGAACAGCTGGCAAAAAACAAACCAACCACCAAAATATAGAAAGCGTGTGTTTGGGAGGGAAACCACGTGAGGCAGTTTATAGCCCTTGCAGCCAGTTACCTATGGCTGATCCGTGTCTGCTGTATCTTCTGCAGCATCCCAGAGCTTCATCCTGTGCATGTTGAGGTCAGTAGCAGGACTCCTGTAATGCTTAGGGATGCATTAATTTCCTTATCTTGTCTCATCTTCCAGGCTGCAGCTTTGGGATTTTGAACCACTGCACTGTTAGCAAGCAAGGAAGGTGGATCATTCATGTTTCTAGGCACTTGCACAGCACTGAAAAAACAATACCAAGGGAGAAGCACAGGCATTTTTAGGATCCTTTGTTCACTGTTCCTACTGACCTGCACTTCAGTCCCAAGGAAGATAAACTACAGAGCTGACACTTTGGAAATACTAAGATCCAATAATTAATAACCATGTAGGATTTTTAATTCAAAACTCAAGTTTGTTGGTTTGGAAGGCGGGTGCTCCTGTGCATAGGTTAGGTAGTTGGTAGGTGAGCTGTAAATCTGCTGCTGTTCTCTCTGCCTCTCTTGAACTCAGCTGAGATCGTTTTTGGCTGTGCAACCCCAGAGGAAACAACACTCTTGAAATAACATTTCAGCACCATAAACACATCTCTATTTGATGCTCTGACATTTGGTGTTGGCAGCTCAGCCTGTCTCTTCAGTACGTGTGTGGCTGCCACCATTCAGCCAGTCCTTCTTTCCTGCACAGGTAGCTCAGATGAAAATCACCTTTCTCTCAAGAGTTCTCCAGGCAGCAGTTTAACATGGCTAAGCCTCAGGAACTCTGTCATGCAAATATAAACTTGCTCTTAGGTCAACATTTAAAGCATTGTTTTCATTGTTTTTAAGAATCCTATTAGTTACAGAGGAATGATAAATAATCCAGTAGTCTGGAACCACATGGTTCTGGCTCAGGGAGCTGTTACCACTACAGATTATGCTTTAGGTCTTGGAGGTGTGCTTTTGTACTCTTGGATCTAGCAGTTCACCTAATGGTTCAGTGTAATTCAAACCCACTGAAGTCTGCAGGAGATACCAGCGCATACTTCCCCCACCTCCAGTGGAAGCATTTATAGTCAGAAGCAATGCTTTGAAATGTTTTACTGCTGTCATATTGATAAGGAGAAAAAAAATATACAGATATAAAGAGGTTGTGTGCATTAATTATTTATCTTGTAATCAAGAAAGTATAAAAATAATCCAGGATGAAAATTGGGAAGGGTTGTAAAGGAAAGCACTGGCTCTTTCAGTCTGAATAATGCAGACCGCATTCAGGCTTTCTCCACAGAACATGACGTCTAATCCCAGCACAAGTAAATACATGGTTTTTTTCTCTAAAACAGATTTTGAAAACACACAGCTCTTGAAAGGAGACTAATTGTGCTCAGCTTCAAGTGAATAATTGAACTGTGTGGAGTTATTATTTTCCTGTCTCCTCTGTAATGATTCTTACTTATTAATTCTTAGATATTCAACTTTCAGGGTTTTTTTAGCGTCAGTCAGGCTCTGCTTCTATTGTCTGAAAAATAAAATATGTAAAGGAAAAACTGCCACAGATTTAAATACATTTACAGTATTGTAATTAAACCAATGGAAAATATGAACCATTAACTTTTTCTCTCAGGGACTCAGCCACCTATGGGATTTTTGTGCCTTTGAAGATCTCCCAAGAGATCCAGTGTGCTTTGCTTCTTCTGATTGCTATTGAAATAAAAGAAGCTTTTAGTTCTTTAAAATCTGTTGTCTTTATCTGCTACTAATTACGTAGTAAGTGCTGTGGTATCAAAACAAAAACAAGTTGCTCTTCCTACACTTATAGTTTTGATGGGATTTGCAGTTTGGCCAGTCTGACTCTTACTGTATTTGTGATCATAGTGGATTAAGGCAGATCCCTTTGGCCTGTATAAAGAACCCTCAGGGCATCTTCAAACAGTGGAAAGGGTGAATAGAAAACAGACTGGAAAAAGATGAGAGAAGGCACCTGAGAAGGCAGGTAGACTGGTCCTGAGTCCTGGGGCATAACTAATGAGACACATGCTGCTCCTTCTAGACATAAGCCTAGTGCCTTCTTAGAAGTCTCCACTAACAGCAATCATGTCACCTAATGAGGGTTTGAGTAGATTTTTTTCCTGTAAGAAATGTTTTCCTCATGGCCAACTCGCTCCACCAGGTGCCTGTGCCTTAGTCCTTAACTTGCTGCCTTTGTTGCAGGAGTAGGATGATGCCAAGTGAAAAGGGGAAGTGCTCAGGCAGTGGGAGGAAGGAGGTGGAGGGCCTTGATGGAGAGCCCTGGGAGGATTCTTTGTCATTGTGTTTCTCACTACTGATCGCTTTAACTTTCTGATACTTTTGAAAAGCTTTAGACAGATAGTAAGAGCAAAGTTTGGAATCTAAGGAGAACCTCACTCATGGGGAAATATCTGGGTCCCATCTGCAGAACCAAAACATAGTAGTAAATTGACAGAAAGACATGACCATAACGCTCTTTTCTTGTCTTTTCTACCCTCACAGATGAACAGGAGCCAGCAGTGAGCAGTGATTCAGATATTTCATTGATTATGGCAATGGAGGTTGGACTGTCCGATGTGGAGCTTTCCACTGATCAAGACTGCGAAGAGGTGAAGTCTTGAAAAACAGAGATCCAACACTAAACTACAGGGGAGGGTCACAGGGAGGGAGTGTGTCAGCTTTCTAGGATTTGGACCAGTCATGCACATGCCTCCAGAGCACTGTCACTCCTGCACACTCCATTCTGAGATGGTCATGAAAAGCAATAGCAACAGTTGTGTCTGCCTGGATGCAGTTTCATCATCTGCATACGTTCATTTTGTCCACACGGGAGATGAGCGCTTTCAGTTTACCCACGTGCTTGAGAGCGGTCATGTAACTCTTCAGTGGCTCATAAATAAGCAACTGAAAAGACAGCTTGAGTGTTTTCTACACTTGTTCGATTGGGTTTTGTTTCTTTGTTTTGAAAAGACGTCCATTTGTTACGTTTGTTTGGTTGGTTATAGTTTGTTATGGATGGACACTCTGTTTTTATTGACTGACCCCAGCTTTTTCAAGAGTTCAGTCCAGAAATCTGAATTCCCATTCACTGGTCACTTCATGATCTGACTCCAGGATTTATCATTGCCTTGTTTTTTCTGCATGAAGTACACATGGCTTCAGAAGGATGGTGCACCAGCACCCTGCATTAACGTGAAGTCTGCTTTCATTAAGTGGGAGCCTTGGAAATAGTATATGCTGAAGGCCTTTATTTGTAGGATAACTGCAAGTTAACAGAGATTGTTGATATTTGGGTTAAAACTCCATTGTATTGGCTTTTATGTAGAGGTCTGTTCTAGACAAGTATACAGTGAGAAGGAGAGAAAAAAAAAGCTTAAAGCTTTACTCCATCCTTGTAGTCCTTTGCTATATTTTATGCCATTAGCAGTTGTCACTACAGTAATGGCCTTCCTACAGTTCAGTAGCTGGAAAAGAAGATCTAGTATAACATCATGTCTCTTCTTAATTTTGCAGACTGACTGGTAGGCTAAAGGAGTGTCTGAGAGGTTTCCAGAGGCTGCTTGTTGACAGCTGTGCATTATGTGGATGACAGTGTTCTTAGAAAGGGTCTGAAGATGCTGATATCAGCATCAGAAATTGCTAATGAAGCAGGAGGCAGCTGGTTGAAATGTTTGCTTCCTGGTTTGTTTGTGGTTTTTTCTTGGTGTTTTTCACTTCTTACTTTTTAAAACTTGTTACCCAACACAGGAGTTCAAGTGGTTCCTTGCCCTCCAGGGTCCCTGTCAACACTGTGGCAAACAGAATACTTGCATTTTGCATATAGATACATGTACCAAAAAACATTGGGTAAAGGGGAGGGAATGTGAAAATAAACAGAACTAACATAAATCAAAATGCCTAAGTAATAATGGCCTGCAATGATTATTTAGTTCATCCTGAGCTCTGGTTTTCATGGGAAAGCTTATATCATTACTTGTTCAGTGTATGATTTCCTTTTTCAGTCAAAATACTCAACTGTGAAGAAGCATTTTTAGCTTACTGTTACACAAGAGTACACGGTTTCTGTTGACAGTCAGATGATTTGAATCACATTACTGCCTCCTGCGTCAAGTCCATAGAATCAACAATTCATCTTACATTCAATTTCATGGCGAGGTCAAACATTTTGACTTGATGGTGCCATGGCAGCATCTCAAAATGCAACTATTAGGGTTCTTGCTGTGTTTAATCTCCTTTTGGATTTACTTGTTAATCGTGGAGACCAACTTCCAGCCAAAATTTGGTTTGTCAGATCTTATTCAGGAACAAATATGTTTAGAACTATCCCTAAAATTTTGGCTGACTTGCTTCTTTAGTACAGGAAGAAGGAAAAATTATACTCCATCCTTTTCGGTCCAGTTAGAACTCAATTCATTTTATAGCTTAATTTTTTTTATGTTCTTAGCCCCTGAATTACAGGGTAACTTTGAGGCGAAGGAGCACAGCCTAATCATCCTTCAAAACCATGATCTGGAAACGTGCAGTTAGATTTTTATAAGCCATTTGAAAGGACATCTCTACTTAATTAAGGAGATGCTGGAAATCTGCTTTGTTTAAAAAGACAGAGATCATTCCAAAGGGCGCAGCTAGGTCAGTTTTGCCAGTATGTGTGGTTCTGTGATCGTATTTTCCTTATTCTTTAATGTCTCCTCTATTCCTTGCTGCTATGGGAAAGGTCCACAGCATCAGGAGGACCAATGCTGAGATTCACCCCTACGCAAGAGAGTTTGCACAAGGTACTGCATCAGCTCCACTTAGGCTCTGGAAATAATGCTGAAATGGGATTTAAGTGGTGCTTACAGCACCACTGGCCCTTCACATAGGAATGAAATTCATCTCGAATGACGGCAGGGGAAAGAGTGAAGTTGGTTATACACAGTCAGGTCTCCCAAGGGGAACTGCACACACTGGTACAATTTCTTCTCTAGTGCTGGAGCCTGGGTGCTACATGTCACAGGAACATCACGAACACAATGTCTGAGTTGTCAGTAATCCTTTAGCATCCACCCGCTGCAGCGCAGCACACAGACAAAATACTCTTGGCTGCACTGCTTGAGTTTTAGAGAAGCTGTCACAAAGTCTTTGTTTTATTTCACACTGAAGTTAATTTCACAATTAATTAAGTTAATCTCAATAGATAGATTGACCTATTATCTGTTGCCATAGCAGATTCATCCACGACACAGCAGAGCAGTGAGGTCTGTGGAAAAGCAAGACAGTAGATGAAACTCCCAGCTGACACTCAACTGGGTCCTTTGCCCAGCAAAATCATTGGAGGGAGCTGTGCTCAAAGGGGCATCACATAGATGGTAACTGAGATCCTGCCCTTATTTCTAGGAGTTGGGGAAGGATTTCAGGGAGGGATCACGCTGTGCATGTTCTTTTCCTGAGTATCCCATACCAGGTGTGGTCCCTCAGGTTCCGCAGGTGGCCACTGGGAGGGTGCTAGGCTGAGCGAGACATTTACACATATCACCATATTGTAGTCTTCCAGAAGAGGCACCCTAGCAAATCCGAGTCAGGAGTCAATCTGCTTTTGTTTTCCCTGTTCTACCTGTGGTTTCACTCAGGAAATACGTTTTTCCATCTCTGTCCTCAGGTGTTCTACAGCTCTGGGCACTGTTAAGCAGTAGCAAGTAGAAAGCCAGGTTACACATCACTGAAGCCAGAATTTAGGAAAGCACTTAAGTAAATGATTTATTCTGTCCTTCAGAAAAGCACTTGCAGCTAATTTTGGACTTGCACCAAAATCATGTTATTTTCAACAGGTCTAGGAGAACAATTAATTCCCTCTGTCAAATGGAAATATTTTTCTAAAGCAGAACCTGGCTGACAATATTCTTTGTATATATAACCTCTGAAATGCCTTGGAAGTTTGAGGTGCTTCATAATGACTAAGACCCCCAAGTGTATGTTTGTAGCACATATGAAAGCCTTAATTCTGCAGATCTGCATGCCCATGTACTATTTTGCTTACACGAATCTCTGCACTAAGATTTCCTCACAGGGTACAATTAAACCTCCCGATTTGCAGCTTTGAGCAAGATGAGTCCCATCCTGTGAGTTGTGCAAGTCCTCAGTACTGCTGCCTGCTAAGCTTGGACTCTGGAATTAAATACGTAGGGCTCAGATGCCAGGGACAGAGCACTGCCTGTTCAGAAGGGAAAGCAGCCTTTAGCATGCAGCCAGGAAAACACAAAATCCTCTGGTGCCCTCTGATGAACAAGTGTTCATGCATGTAGTTCTGCAGGCTCATGCTGTGACTTACACCGGGGCAAAGGGGCACCTCCTGCACAGGGCTGGTGGCCAAAGTAGGGATAGTGCAGCTCTCGAGAAAGGCATTTTTGTCATTAAGCTGATCTTGTGTCTCTGAGCTTTTCCTGCCCTGTCGTCTGAGGCTTTTCTCTTTTCCATGAACAAGTTGTAGGTGGGAGAAGCATTCATCTTAGCGAGGCTCATCTCCACTCATGCTAAAGTGGTTGCAGGGTGAAACTTGGGCAGAGGGAGACTGCCCTCTGGCTGTCCTTTGATTTTCATGGGTTTCACTGAACTGCTTTCCAAAGGCCTGTTCAATAGGACACAAAAAGTTGTATAGGAGAGTTTTGCACTCATAAATGACCTAATGCGTGCATGCAGATGTGCAAGGTGCCAGTTCCACATCCCCTCCCCATGGCTGACTTGTTCTGGTGAGGATTGAGATCTGACACTTCCTGAGGGTTTGGGGTGTTTTTTTATTTTCTTACTGCTTCAGAGCCTTAAAACCAGGATCAGGTCAATCACAGTGCTATAGTTCATTCTTTAAGCATTCTGTAGAATTATATTACCATGAATGCGTATAAAAGTGTATTGGTAAGACTATACAAACCATACTGTAGTGGAAACAGAAACAGCTGTCATTTTTATATGACTTTTTATATGGGGGAGATCGTGGCACTAAAGAAAAAGGCTTTCTAGAGGCAGTTTGGGAAAAAGTCCATATGATACGAGCTCCCTCAGATCTCACTGCTTCAGTGACCCCTAGATCAGATCCAGAGGAAGCCATTGCAAGGAGAGCAGTGCTTAGTCTTACTGAATGACTTGTTTGGGATACATTTTTACTTTGTTATCTAAATGAACCCAAGCACAGAGACAGATCCAGCTCTGAATTTGATCTGTCTCAAAGAATGTGCATTGTGATCCAGTTATTTTCCTTGTCAAACCTGTTAACCCACCTTCTTTTTCCCCCTTGCTAAAGCAGAAGAAGTGCTTATCCAGTTTGAAAAATGTCTATCTCAGAAGACCTTTGCATATGGATAGGCTGCCCTGGTGGGTATCTGCAGATCACGTTTCTGTGTACGTTTACTCATCAGTACGACACAGTTGCAGATTATCCATAGAGTCTGTTTTATTTGTTGTTCGTGTTAAACCTGCAGTTGTCATTTAGATTTTCCAGAGTTTTGCCTTACAAAATTCTCCTTTGAATGTACGCCACAGCCCTTTGAGTAGATTCTGTGATTAAAGGACGAAGATCAGGGCACAAGTCTTTAAATGTAGATCTCTGGATTGCAAGTCCAACTTCCCAGCTGGGAATCTCCCAGGCTCTGTTTCCAAGAGTCTCATTCCTTTGTGATCTCTGTCCTTAGAAGAGCTCATGACTAAGCGTATAGTTTGTAATAAGCAAGGATAAGAATTTATAGGCTGTGCAAGCCAGGAAAACAAATAGTCATTTATTGATTTATGTTTATTAGCAATAATGGACTTTTTTAAACATTTGTTGTTCTTGTGGATCCCTGTTCTTGAGCCACTCTACTAGGAATAGGGGCCAGGACACACTGACTCTCTAAGCAGAAGAGGGAGGGCTTGGATTGCTGTTGGGATGCACCCATTTCCAGTTCCACAGGACTGAAATGGTGGAGAAACCCATCTGGTTCCTTCCCAGTCCCTCTCACAGATGTCTGCTCTGGTGTGAGCCTTAGTTGCAGGGGAAGGAGACAGTGGGATCAGACTAATGCTGTGCTACTTTGTCTCTTGCATTTTGTGCTGCCTGCATCTCTTGTAGCAGGTTGGATTGCTGTGGTTGAGCACAGGGGAGAGGAGCCAGCCTAACTTCAACTTAATCACAGATGGGCCAGGGGTGTTGGGCAGACTCAGGGCAGCTTAGCTTCTTCATAACCAGGGCTGATCAGGATTGCTGCTTCACTGAAGAACACTGAGCGTTAAGTCATTTTTCTGATAGATGCAAAACGCGTGGGTGTATATGGGGCAGCCAGCGCGACACAAACGAATTGGCTTCATTAACGCAAGCAGTGAAAAACAGTGACATGAAATACTGTCGGGGCAGGGAAATGAGGGTGGAGGTGTTGTTTCACAGGCTTTTGTGAATAGGGACGACTGATCCAACGCAAGCGCTCCTTTGACTTTCCCAAGCTGTTACCTGAACTAATTGATAGTTTCGCAGTTGAAAGAGGAACGCCAGATGGACTTTTTAGCCTGGATTTGTTTGTGTGGCAGATGGCAGCTGCCGGCTGGGACGGGGAGCGAGGGAGAAGGCAAGGCCACCCCCACCACACTGGACACCCGCTCAACTCCCTCCCTCTGCTTTGGCACTTATTTCTCTAGGGAAAAAAAAGCCCTTCCAAGCAGGAGCTGTATTTCAAAGGGAGAAATAGAGAAGAAAAATGAATGAAATATGTTGTGGATTTTGAATGAAAAGCCAACAGATGAATTTTCCATCTGAAATTAATCTTGTCTCAACTGTTTTAATTGTGAGCCAGTGGAAGTTATTTCTTTCTGGAGTGGATGCAAAGAAAAAAAGGGAGAGAGAAAAAAAAAACAGAAATAGCATTTTCCCATTTTTGTTCATTTCTCAAATCTTCAGTCCTGTGTAGCTTGAAAAACAATAGCAAGATCGAGATGCTTGTTTGCTCTGAATGTATATCTGAATGTTATTTCAGATGTCAAATACCTAAATGTTTTGTATGTGTACGTAATACCGCCCTTCCTTCTTGTTTCATGTTAGGAACCTGAAATGACTCTACCATTTTATAATTAGAAATGTAAAGAGGGGACAGCGGGTGGGAGGGTCTGTTATTTTTATAGCAAGATGTTCCTTGTATTTAGTGAACATTTAAAATGGTTTTGTACTTGTCAAAATATACATTCCATCCATTTCCAGAAGAGGATCATTTCTATTGAGTAGTTTATAAGCAAACCAAAAAACTGTGGTGTCCCATTTGTACGTGGTTCATGAACAGAGCAGAAGTATCCTAGTTTTCAGTGATGGCTCCAAAGCTTTTTCCAGCCATGTCTCTTTTCACATGCTGCAGAGCCATACCAGCAAATGCTGACGTTAAGAAAGAAAAAAAAAACCCCGAGTGAAATAAATACCATATGGATCAGTGCACAGCTTATCGAAATCACTTCCAGCTTGGAGACAATGGTCTGTCCCAGTGGAACAAGGTAATCAGTCCCGCTCCGGATGCAGGACTGTATTTACTGCTTCTGCCCTGGCAGGCTGGGGGGTGACAGGGCTGTCACACTTGGCACCGTGGCCCCTCTGGCTGGGAGCCTGGTTCTGGCTGAAGCTGGTTTGCTGGTAAGGCAGTTGGTTCCTGCAGGCTGACCACGTTGTGGTTCTTCCGACTGTGGAAACAACCCTTCATCTCCACGTTAAAAACCAGTTCCTTCCTCAGCCAGCTGCATGTTGGTTTGCGCAACACCCAGCAAAGACCATGGCAAAATCACAGTGGCATTTACATAGCTCTTTCTCTCATAGTCAGCTTCCTCCCCCCCCTCCCCGGCTACCTGTGACTTGCTGCCAAAACAGTGCAGTAGCAGTTTGTGAAGCGAGCCTTTTTTTCTAGCATTACTTTCTGTACAGTATTGCAAATAGACTTTAAGTCTGTGCCGATATTTTATAACGTCTACATCTTCCCCTCCAATGCACTTTATCTCTCTTGAAAAATGTGGGAGTCGGAGAGCTACCATCTTAAAGGGATTTGCCTGAAATCATGAGGCACACACTTTTTATTTTGCTTCCTTCTTGCTTTGTTATATACTGTAAATGCTGAAGAGCATGGACAGTGACTCAGCTGGGGGAAGTACCAAAATGTTGAGGGTAATATTCAGAAGCATTATTCAGTAGTACAACATGGCTATTTTTGTTATATAGAGGATTATAATGTAAATATGTGAGACTGTGTTATTATGTACTAGTAAAATATTGCAACTCTCAAAGTTAAGATGGTGAATTCCAAGGAATTTTATTGCAAGTTTTTTAATAAAACGAATCTGATTACTGTGTCATGTGTATTTTCTAACAGACTGTGTTAAACTGGCATTTCCTGATGTGGGAAACATGCGTGTTCTTTCTTCCTGAACTCCACCACTTCAGACTGGTGTTCACAGAAGGCAGAAGCTACAGCAGGAAGGGACCCAAGTGGCAGCCTGGCCTTCATGACACCACTTCAGCCCCAGTCGCTGCTCAGGTCCTCCCTGTCCTTCAGCTGCTTTTGATCAGAATGCAGTGGCTGTTTGAGTTAAATGCCTCCACTTCCCCACCCCAGGTGCTGGGCATAATGTGTTAAACCAGCTTTAAACAGTGACAGCTCTGCCATGACCCAGTGGGAATGGTAGCAGTGGTGTGAGGGGTCATCAGCTGCTGCTCTGCATCCCTGGGAGCAGGGGGCCACAGGAGAGGGATGGTGGCTGGCCAGCATAGGTGTGCTGCCTACAAGAGGTTCAAGGCCCAGCAAAAATCCTGCCTAAAACAATTTAAGAGACTTGAAGTTTTCCAGCATATACAACAGAAGGCAGACAGAAATCCCTGAGGGGGGTCAAATCCTGGCTTGAGCCAGGGCCCAGCCATCCCTCATCCTGGCCCACATTTTGTGCTTGCCACCTGGTGCCTCCAGCACGGATGCCTCTCACCTACCTGCAGCAGTACGTTCAAGGCATCAACAGCCAAATTGGTTGGGGCCCTAACCTGGATTTCACACAGGAGTGAGGAAGGCAGCCGCCATAGGCTAGATCACACATAGCTCCCCTGCGCCTCCTTGCTCCCACCCTCCTGCTGGGCTTTGTTCTTGATGTTCATGACAGAGGGGCAGCAGGCAAGCTCAGAGCGAGAAAACCACGTGATTTAACATTGGCTCTATCATAGAACCAGCTAGGTTGGACAAGACCTTTAAGATCATCAAGTCCAGCCATTACCCCAGGACTGCCAAGTCCATCCCTAAACCATGCCACTAAAGGCCTCTACTACATGTGTTTTGAACACTTCCAAGGGCAATGATGCCACCACTTCCATGGGCAGCCTGTTCCAATGCCTGATTACACTTTTGGAGAAGAAATTTTTCCTCATATCCAATCTAAAACTCCCCTGGCACAGAGTGAGGCTGTTACCTCTTGTCTTATCACTTATGACTTGGGATAGGAGACCAGCCACCTCCTCACCCCATCTTCCTTTCAGGTAGTTGTAGAGAGCAGTAAGACCCCGCTGACCCTGTCTTCCCCAGACCAAACAACCCCAGTTCCCTCAGCCATTCTTCATGAGACTTGTGCTCCAGGCCCTTCACCAGCTTCATTGCCCTTCTCTGGACCCACTCCAGCAACTCAAACTCGCTCTCAGCAATGCCAGAAATTACTTTTCTCCTCCCAACCCATGTCAGCTAGTTGGCAGCACAGCCTGGAGCTCGCCGTCCCACCAGCCCTGTTCCAAGGGCAGAAGCCCCACGCCAAAAGCATGGACGGCCTTCAGAGGGGGACTGCAGGTATTGCTAGCCGAAGAATCTGCTCCCGCTCTTCCCCATGTCTCCCTCCCTGCCTGCTGCTTTGTTCTCTGCCTTCCTTTAGTGACTGTCCCAGGGAGCGATGGGGGCCGATGCTCCTTGGCAGGCAGCTGTGGCAGTTGCTATGTGATCTGCACACACAACACAGCTGCTGTGCCTGCTGCCGGTCCCGAGTCGCGGCGCACAAGTAACACAGCGGGGAGCTGCTGGGAATGGCAGCGGGGCTATAAATAACATGGGGCGTAAGGCAATTCATTCCAGGATGCAACGCATACTTGGGGCTTGTGTTACATCACTCCCAGCTCTATATGGGAATCGTTTCTGGTCAGAACATGGAACTAAAGCTGCGCAGCTCTATGCTCTGTTGTGGTTTTTTTTCTCCCAGAAGGGATAAGCCAAATTCACTCTTGTGATTCAAGGAGGTGACCCTCAGACCCATCAATGGAGAGGACTCGGGATTCAAAGGGCATTTATCCACGATTGCACTGTGCAGTGATTTATACAACCCAGAATTCCCTCTGTCCCGTGATACCCAAACCATGCTAGGAAAGAAAGCAAGCTTTGTGCTGCACACTTGAGGGTACCCAGTGGGGAGCTGCAGTCATTTGTGCAGGGTTTTAGGAGCCACATTGGGAAAACTACGAGAAGGCAGATCCACAATGCGGGGAGATCACGTCTGCAGGCATCCCAAAGAGAATAAGAGGCTTTCACGGCCCAGAAGAAATCTAATGGGCTGGTGCATTTATCATAGATAAGCCATAGGAAATCTGTGCTCAGTGAGGGTGTAATTCTGCAACACACATTCCTTTGATCCCCGTGCAAACAAGCTGCCAGCAAACCCTGGCAGCAGCAGAAGCAAGCAAAGTGACACCACCGTCATGTGCCTTGTCCACACTTCACTGCAGTCAAAGTGGACCTGGGAGCACAGGCTTGCACAGGGAGGCCAGCAGCGATTCGTGGTGGCTGCAGCCCAGGCAGACGTCCCTTCTCCTGCTCCAGCTCGGAGGCATGGTAGCTCCTGGCAGAGGGACAGAACAGCCATCTGGGAGCGGGAACGCCTTAGACATGTTGGCAGAGCCCCAGAGCTCATCTGTCAGAGCCTGCAGCTCAGACGAAGTCGTTCCTCTGTCCCTGCTTGGGGCAGCCGTGCTGGCTCAGACCAGCAGCCTGCCTCACCTGTGTCTGACAGCGAGACTGGGAGCAGGCACACACAGAAGAGTCACACCGGGGCAGCCGCCCCTCTACATACATACGTCACTCCTGGCTTTGCAGAGGTCTGAATATATCCCTATGGTGTCAGTGATTCCCAGGGCAGGGGCACAGTGTTCCATTCCTTGGCATGTCCTTGCTGCCTTTCTCCAGACCTCTCTGCACTTAACTGCATGGCGGGGGGGGGTGGTCCCAGCCAGAGCACACCACTAGGCAGGGAGGATGGAGACAAGCCCCATGGTGGGAACAGAGACAAGGTATCACCCAGCGCAGTGACAGGAAATGCTCCCAGCTCCCGTGGGCTTTGGAAGTTACCTGCATGCACCAGCCCAGAGCACAAGCACTGCACCCCAGCCAGGTGCCCTGCAGCTTCCCCCAAGGACAGGGGTGCCCAGGGGTGCCAGCCCATATGGTGTCTCTTACGGTGGTTGTGATATTTCATAGAACCATGGAGTGGTTTGTGTTGGAAGGGACCTTAAAGCTCATCCAGTTCCAACCCCCTGCCACGGGCAGGGACACCTTCCACTAGACCAGGTTGCTCCAAGCCCCGTCCAACCTGGCCTTAAACACTGCCAGGGATGGGGCAGCCACAGCTTCTCTGGGCAACCTGTGCCAGTGTCTCACCACCCTCATAGTGAAGAATTTCTTCCTGATACCTAACCTAAATCTACCCTCTTCTGAGTTCAAAGCCATTCTCGGTTGTCCCGTCACTACACACCCATGTAAAAAGTCCCTCTCCAGATTTCCTTGGGCCCTCTTTAGGCACTGGAAGCTGCTCTAAGGTCTCCCTGGAGCCTTCTCTTCTCCAGGCTGATCAAGCCCAGCTCTCTCAGCCCATCTTCATAGCAGAGGTGCTCCAGCCCCCTGACCATCTTCATGGGTGTTTTCTGCCAAGCCTCAGGTTCTGGAGGCGAAGGCGGGAGGGTCAGAGCGGAGGCAGGGCGAGGTGAGGTGGCAGCCGAGGCGGCTGGGGTGAAGACGTTTCCAGAACCCGAGCGATAAAGAGGCGTGTATAGCTCCGGAGTGCCGCGGGCCGGAGGCACGACGCTCACCGCGTCTCTCCAGCAGGAGGCTCCCCCGCCCCGCAAATGCACCGCCGGGGCTGCTTCAGAGTTCACAGCATCACAGAGTGGTTTGGGTTGGAGGTGACCTTACAGCTCATCCCGGTTCCACCGCCCTGCACGGGCAGGGACACCTTCCACTAGGGCAGCCCTTCATTTGCCGAGCTAAATCAGTGAATATTTACCGTGTTGAGCGAGTGAAAGGCACCCTGGGGAGCTTTTCCCTGCTCTTCCTTCTGCGCTCTCCCTTGCTGGGAGAGAACAGCCTGGGGTCCCTGCCATCACCTCCAGCCAGTGACGCCCAGGAAAGCTCTAAGTGCAACTGGGTTTGCGCGTCCATCTGCCCAGTAGCCAGCAGGTCTGGCAGAGGGGAGCGGGACTGCTGCCCTGCTCCACAGGCAGGAACGCCGAAGCAAAACCCAACAGGGGCACCAGCTGACGGCGGCTTGAGCAGCAGGATGGGGACAGGAGTGGGGCTGAAGACCAGCACTGCAGCACCACTACAGCCCAGCCATCTGGGTGAAGGAGATGGCATGTTTTAGCTGCATTTTAGCTAAAGGACTGTTACTAAAGCAAATCGGTTGAAATTCTGTGCATGCACTTACACTGTTTAAAAGCAGGTTATTTTGGTGCGTTTTTGGCTACCGTTCAAGGAGGAAGAGACCCAGGCATGAACTGACAGAATCACCCTGCATGGGGAATTGTACTTGAACAGGGACTTTGCAGGGGGAAAATCCCAAATTGAAGCGTGATGCCCATTGTAGGGTGCTGGATCTCACATCCTATTCCAGCCTAACCATGAAAAACCCCCACAGACACTTTTAACGGGACACAATTCAACTGAAATCCAGATCCACTTCAGTACCATTTATCATCTCAGCTGACATCCTCAGCTATCCAGACTGAACTGCATGCTTGCAGGTCTAACACATACTGGTGGTAGAGCTTCAAGGTGAAAATTACTTCACCCCATAACCCCAGTGTGCATTTCCCTTCAGAGAGACACTTGGCAGTGGCTATGCTCTCCCAGAGAATGTTGTTTCCACACGGGCAGCTCTGGAGGAGCTTTGGGGAGGCAGGAAATGAGTTTTGCTTTCAGCCTGGCTCAAGTGTGAGAGGCAGGGAATACCAAGAAGGATGAGGAGAATTGTACAAAGGTGTGTTACTTACAGTGCTGCTTTGTTTGAAATAATTGTCCTAAAGGACAATAAAGAAGTGAATTTTCTTAGGGAAAATTGACCCGCGCTGACTTCCAGCTGTGAAACTGCTCTGATAAGAAATGTTAGTACTAACATCCTCTGTTTACTTTTGCTCGGTGAAGTCCTAGATACAAGCAGCTGCCAAAATTCCCCAGACACATGTGATGTCTTGTTAGCATTGACCAGCCCTGGTCATTCCTCATGAGCCAGGTGTGTGGGAGGGGGGATGCCCAGCAGGCTGGGAAGGCAATTGCAGAACCTGGGGGCTGGTGGTATAAATCCCATTGATCCTGCAAAAGGAAAGTGCTGCTTCTATGCTTTTATTTTGTTTGCTGGGCCTTAGGGGCTTTCCTTTTTGTGGAAGGAAAGGGCTCAGAGCCACACTCGGGAGCTGTTCTTTAGGGTGCGAAGAAACGAGTTGCCTGTGCTTTGACTGGTAGAAAACTGTCCTTTTCTTCCCTGAAGCTGGTTGCCCCTTGCTGGAGTAGTCTGCTCAGCCTATGGTCTAAAGTGCTCCTGAACCGTTCGCTTTGCCTGGGTTTGTCATGCATCTCTTACTGAAAGGCCAGATTTTTACATGCATAACTTTAATGTACACCTTGGAGAAAGGGGTAAATTCCCTGGTGGGCTCCTCCCTGCCAGGGTGAAGAGGAGGCATTGCCCTGAGCCGGGGCCCTGCTCAATGTTGTGACTCCCCCAGGCCTGTCACAGAGCTGAGAGAGGCTGTGTCTGTTCCCCTGCAGAGGAGGCATTGGGTGGGTGAGCAGGCACTAAGGAGACAGGTGGGGTTTACTTCTTCTTCTGGTAAGCCTGACAATGTCTTCCGAGCCCTTCTACTCACTGAGAGGGAGGCAACCACTGCTAGAGGTGATCAGGCTGGTCTACAGCAGGAATATTTACTTGGGAGCAGTGATGTCTTGAATGCCCTTGGAGCAATGCTCCTGCTAGAGCTGAGTGATGGAGGAGGGCTCTGTGGGCAGGGGTGAGAGCCACAACATTGCTTTTCAGAGGCAGATTAGTGTTTAAAAGGCCCTGAGGACATCAAACCCATCACAGTTTGGGGTCTGTAAGACCTCTGATAATCCTTGCATAGTATGGGCTTAATTTGGCCATATCACTGATGGAGTGTTGAGTGAACTGAGTTCATCCTCAGATAGAACCATAGAATGGTTTGGTTTGGAAGAGATCTTAAAGCTCACCCAGTTCCAGCCCCCTGCCATGGGCAGGGACACCTTCCACTAGACCAGGTTGCTGAAAGCCCTGTCCAATCGGGTCTTGAAGATAAAGGGCACAGAAACAGCAAATCACCCAGGGAGAAGCGTAATAGTTATTGCTTGAGTGCTGCACACGTGTTTTGTTGGCAGGCAGACTCCACCAACAGTGAAGCTGCTTTGCTCTGACCGTGAGAGTTTCTCCCTCCTGTGTTGAAGATGATAATGTTATGCGGTGGTGAGATCATCTCCCTGGAGATGAAACTTCGCCAGCAAAGGAGCGAATCCGTGCTACTGAATCTCGCTGCTCAGACATCCGAGATGTTAAACGGAGCAATTCAGAAATGCATTGGACCATCTTGGAGACGTGAAGTCTGGCTCCACGAGTGACACATTAAACACAAACTGCGTGTGGAGCGTAAATATGTTTTTGACTTTCTAGCAGAAGAGTCTCAGCTTGCTTTGTTTTGCCCTTGATTGTAATGCCAGAAACCTTTCTAAATATCACTACTCTTGATGGTGTTAGGAAACATTATATGCCTCATTCGTTCTCTAATTTGTATGAAAACAGCTTACTCCTGCCTTTTGGTTTCTGTAATGCTTGCTGATAGCCAGGGAGTCAAATGCTTTAGTTTTGCTATGAATACTTTACTGTAAATGTGGTCATCCTTGCTGCTCTTTTCTCACTAGCTTTGTTACCCCCTTTCAAGGGACTGTGGTACTCTGACACCAAACAAGTGTGCATAAACTGCCATTATTCAAAGGATGTGACTGAGAGGTTGCATTACAGTGTTTAAAGCCCAGACAGCATCCTTTTTCATAGAATCATAGAATAGTTAGGGTTGGAAAGGACCTTAAAATCATCAAGTTCCAACCCCCCTGCCATGGGCAGGGACACCTCACACTAAACCATATCACCGAAGGCCTCGTCCAACCTGGTCTTGAACACTGCCAGGGATGGAGAATTCACAGCCTCCCTGGGCAACCCATTCCAGTGCCTCACCACCCTAACAGGAAAGAATTTCCTCCTTATATCCAATCTAAACTTACCCTGTTCAAGTTTTAACCCGTTACCCCTTGTCCTTTCACTGCAGTCCCTAATGAAGAGTCCCTCCCCAGCATCCCTATAGGCCCCCTTCAGATACTGGAAGCTGCTATGAGGTCTCCACGCAGCCTTCTCTTCTCCAGGCTGAACAGCCCCAACTTCCTCAGCCTCTCTTCATACAGGAGGTGCTCCAGTCCCCTGAGCATCCTCGTGGCCCTCCTCTGGATTTGTTCCAACAGTTCCATGTCCTTTTTATGTTGAGGACACCAGAACTGCGCACAATACTCCAGGTGAGGTCTCACAAGAGCAGAGGAGAGGGGCAGGATCACCTCCTTCGACCTGCTGGTCACGCTGCTTTTGATGCAGCCCAGGATACGGTTGGCTTTCTGGGCTGCAAGCGCACACTGAAGCCGGCTCATGTTCATTTTCTCATCAACCAGCACCCCCAAGTCCTTCTCCACAGGGCTGCTTTGAATCTCTTCTCTGCCCAACCTGTAGCTGTGCCTGGGATTGCTCCAACCCAGGTGTAGGACCTTGCACTTGTCATGGTTAAACTTCATGAGGTTGGCATCAGCCCACCTCACAAGCGTGTCAAGGTCCCTCTGGATGGCATTCCTTCCCTCCAGGGTATCAACCGAACCACACAGCTTGGTGTCATCAGCAAACTTGCTGAGGGCGCACTCAATCCCACTGTCCATGTCAGCGACAAAGATGTTAAACAAGACCGGTCCCAACACTGATCCCTGAGGGACGCCACTCGTTACTGGTCTCCAGCCGGACATTTTCTCCCGCTCAGAAGGAGGTGACACTGCTGATTGTCTTTTGAGAGAGAAAAAAAGGGTTTGAAAACAACATGTTAAAATATTTCACTTTTTTATGAAGGTATCAGGGGTTCAGCTGGCTGCAGGGAGGATATGGTGCTGTGCATGGTGTGTGTGTTAAGGAAGAGGTCTGTTTGGTTGTGTATTTCTTAGTGGAAACCATTGGAGCTCGGAATTGATGCTCTTGGACCTGGTGTGAGCTGTGAGAGCAAAACCTTGGTAGAGTTGTGCAGGAGGTGTTGCTTGAGACCCTCTTTCTGAAGAGATGCTGGTGGCCAAAGCTGTAGATCAGTAGCTCAGGCTGGAGCAGCATCTTGGTGGGAGACACCCATAGGGCAGCACATTGAGTCTGATGGAGCAGCAGGAGCCAGACACACAAGCTGCTTGCAGACCTGCTGGGTGCCTCTTTTCCACACATGCAAGACATGGCAGTAGCCTAGAAATCTAGTAGTCCTGTAAATTTCCCTTCTTTTGTGTGATATTTTTCATCCTGGAGCCTCATTTTCAGACCCAGTTTGCTGTTACAACCCCACAGGCATTGATAGATTTATTCCCAACTTCCATTCAGTGAGGTTGCAGTCGAGCCTCCTGTTCTTTGGGTTGATTATGTCTCCTTTATTTGCTCACTTCTGCAGAAATCTTGATGCTCAGGAGCATTTTCCTTCCTTCCCTGCCTTTTCTCCATTACTGCTGTAATTCTTTGTGGTGAGTTGACTTTGAGTTTGTCATGTGGTAACAAATTATTGCATGGGAACAGCTGCAAACAAGTTATGCCTTAAAGAAATGCCTCTCAAAAATAGCTACATATGGGCATACCATATGACACAGCCTCCTTGTCTCCTGATACCCCAGCCATATTTCTGTGTGTGTAATGTCTTCAGCAGCAAGTGTGCCCCAGCTGGTGGTCAAGGCTGAGCCCTGAAGAGCTGCTGTAGGTCACTGGCACACCCGTGGGGATGCTCAAAGCCTGGGGCTGCCACGTGGAACGGTTTGTCTTCCTCCCCATGTCCCAGCATGAGGGAAAATGTCCCCCATCAGTCAGGCCTCCTGCTGCTGATGCCCATATCTGTGAAACCAGATAAACGTGAGCATCATCCAAACCAGTCCAAAAGGCCATGACAGGCACTGTACAGGCTTCTTGGTGCCTTTCCCAGCACCTTCTCCTCTGCAGGTAGCAATCCCTCAGATGTGTTCTAGTCCCTACATAAAGGGGGAGGGCAGGTATCCTGGCCAGGAGGTAGCAGCACATTGCCAGTAAAAGGCAGTGTGGTTGCTTTGATGCATTTTGCAGTCCATTTTTCTTTTTCTTCTATCCTTTTAGCACAAGTTTTTGGCTGTTCATATTCTGATCACACAGGAGGAGCTATTTTCTGCAGCAATGCCTTTCTGTGTTGCCTGTGTGACTCTGACTTGCGTTTTTGCTCATCACAGAAAATGCAAAGGAGAAGGTGGCTCTCTGTTTGGGGTGTATTATGAATGAACTTGAAGTATGGTGTTTTTTTTTTGGTTTGGCAATATTTTTTTCCACAGAAAAGCTTTTTCCTTTGGCTGTGGGGGTCTATAATCTCTCTGTAGCTTGTAACTAGACAAATTCAGGGCCACCAGTGACGGTTATCATCCACCTTCACTTATCTGCTTGCTTGCACCCTTGGAGCATTGCAAGCCCAGGTTCCTGGGCAGTATGATGGCAGGGAAGCTTGCCCTACAAGGAGGCAATAAAAAAGCTGCATTGATAACGCATGTTATAAATGAAATCACTTACATATCAAGGGCTGTGCCTCTTGCACCTTGCCTTTGGGAGCTGCTGTGAGCTGCCCGATTGGGGGGGCTGGAAATTCCATTGGGGTTCACATTGGCTAGTGTTCAGTCCTGTGTCTGCAGTGCTTTAGGTGCTTTTAATCAGTCCTCAGAAAACTGATATTGCCATAAAAAGCACCCAGACACTCCTAAATTTTGTAGGATACAAAGCACTTTCTACCCCCATTAAAGATGGATATCAAAATGTCTGCTACTTGGTTTGTGCAGGAAGCTTAAGGGATGTGTAAAATGCCATTGCAGAAAACAATCACGTAGTTATTTACTCCTGCATGAGATAAAGACATGGAAGGCATAAACCATGAAAGCAATGAAAGGAAGTACCATAATGCAATGTCCTATTGATCTGTGGGATTTGCTGCTGCTTAAGATGATGGTGCTGCAAGTAACATTTTTCTAGTTGTACTAACTAGAATAAAAATGATTACAGGATGAAAAAAACTTTAAAACACAAGCTCCTTAGGCTTAAAGCTTTCTACTGCTCACTTGTTAGCTGGCAGGGTACAGAAGAAAGGCTTTCTGCCATCCATGCATATTACTGCAGTGCCCAGTTACACATGCTATGAATGTTTTATGTCTCACTCCAGAGTTGCTTGTAACATCTCCTCGGGAAGGCTGAGTGCCAGACCTTTGGCTGCTAGAAATCGATGTAGTGCTGCTGACTTAGGAGGCAGACTGCCCCTGCCATGGGCTCAGATGGCTCCCTCCCAGCACTGGTATGGGATCTCATGCATGCAATAAGATCAGAAGATGTCCAAGAAACAGGGTAACAACTGAAGGAAAACCTTGCTGCTTGTAGGGGGAAAAACAGGCTGGCATCTCAGAGATGGGGAACTGGCACTACAGACTTGAATAGCACAAGGTGGTGGGGACAGTGTTCTTAACAGTCCCTCTCCTGCCAGTGCCTTTGCCCCTTGATGTGGCAGGGTGGCTGCAACGGCTTACAGCTGCCTGGGCTTTTACAGGTGGCACCCATTTGTAGCTGGGGTGTAATCAGCAGCACTGTAGCACAAAGTAAATGATTAATTGTAATTATGGTGTGTTGCAGAGCTGTAGTTGAGAGCCTTTCTCTTAATTTCAAGCCCTAGTTAATGCACTGCTGTAATAGCTATCCCAGCAAACCCAGGTGATAGATATTAGCAGGCTTAGTGAGTGAGGAAGCTGGGAGACAGGCAGCAGGAAGGAGACAGCTTGACCTTTCCTTAAGCAATGTTTTTGTGTGTGGTAGCACACCTTAACATCGTGGATGCTGCTACAATAGCTTTCATTGCTTCCTTTTTCAGAGTAGAGAGAGGGTCAGGCTCTTCAGGAGCTGGGAGTGGGCTCCTGGCCTCGCTGTAGCTGCATAGCTTCCTGGCTACCCACATCCAGACTGGGTATGGAAATACCTTGCTGTCTGCTTACACTCAGGTCAGATAAGTATTTGAGGGCATTTGTGCCAAGGAACAGATAACTGCTTAGATGATTTCTTCCCAGTATGCAGCCAGAGTTTCCACTGCACTTCAGATCAAATATACTTTCTGCTAATGGAAAAGGAAAAAAAAAGATAATTTAAAATCAAACCCAGGGACTGCAGGAACCAAGGGGTTGATTCTTGGGAAGTTTTGACTACTTCTGAGTTGCATTAAAGCTGATTGATGTGGGCTCAGATTGCATAATAATTCACAGGAGAAACCCAGCTCACAGGAATAGCTGCTTCTTCAGCGATGTGTTGCTTTGACAGGCAGGTCTCAGAGACCACACGGTGAACATCGAGCTTCAGAGGATATCTGTCAGCCCTCTCTGAAGTGATGCATAACTTCGTCATGCACAAGAATAAGGCGGCGTGCAAAAGACTGATGCGTTTTTTTTCCTGCCTCCACCCAGGCCCCCCAAGACCTCATGTATCCTTGAACCCCTACCAAGGAGAGTCACTAACTGGGTCTGTGGGTTTTCTTCATAACAACAGCTTGTAGGGAGACCAGATGAGAGCTGAGA